GGGGGGGGGGGCACGTCGACGCACCCCCTCCGTCCGCCTCCACCCTGCGCGTCGCCTCACCTCACGTCGTCCTTTCAAGGGACCCTCCTGCGAGGCGACGTCTAGTGTCAGGCAGTCGGCCCGGGCTGCGTCGTGCGTCGCAAAGGGAGGTGACTGTGGAACGGTCTGCAACCTCCGCCATTAACCTCCTCACCAACTTGGAGCAAGGGCACGGCGCGCCAGACGTCGCCGCCGCCACCCCTCTGTCAAAAGGCCAACCCAGCCACTGAGTCTGTCCAGTCTGCCCCCAGACCTTCGTCTAGACGCCACAGGGGTTGGACACCTGGAAAACAGAGTTCACGTCGACTCTGATATCGCCAAGAGCACCATCGGACTGTCCGAAAGAGTTTTCCTCCCGGGACAGGTGTCGGATGGTTATTTAAACAGGGCAGACTTTTAGAGGTCGACAACTCACCGCCGATTACGAAGAAAATTAGATTCACGGATCAATACATCAAAATATTTGCTCACGGCGGGACGCGGCGGGATCACGCAACGTAATCAAAAACCCTCTCGAGTTAAATCACAGGGAGGAAAAAAACGCCCGCAGGCAATGTGTATGTCTTACGATGCCACCACCGTCGTAACACCCCCCTCCCCCCTCCTCCCTTCGCGACGTCCTACGGCGGCGTCCTTGGCGGCAGTTACACGACCCCCTGCTGTGGCAGCTGGACGACAAAGCACGCAGCAGCAGCATCAGCATCAACATTAGCAGCACCAGCACCAGCAGCAGCAGCAGCAACAGCAACAGAGCAGCAGCAGCAGCACCCTCCCGTTTGCAAACTGTTTGGGAGCCTGGCGCTAATTGTTCGTCCACCGCACGCCGCCCATGGCCCCGCCGCTTGTACTCGCGGTAGTAGTGGCACTGGTGGCCGTCCGACGCGACATCAGACGAGACAAAAGGCGCAAGCCGGCGTGTCAAGCAGCATCAAGCAGCCGCGAAAGCAAAGCCAGCAAGCCTCGCGGGGGTGGTGACTCACACACGGGGCCGACGTGACTCGATTAAGAGAACAGCAGCGACGCTTTAGCCTTTTGCGCGAGCGTGGTTGCGCGCGCCGCCGCTAAGCTGAAGCTGGCTGAAGCCTAGCCCCTCCCCCCTCCTCCCCACCATACCCCCCGCCCACCGCCAGCGGCGTATGGTGGTGCTGGTGGCGGCGCGCCCCCTGGGGGACCAGGTAGTAGTAGGGGACGCAGACACGCATCGCATCGCGCACTGCTCTTGCTCCACAAATAAAAGAGTGTGTGACAACACGATAACACCCATCATAGCTTTGAAGCGCGCGCCTGACAATAAGGGCACACACACACATTTGTCTGATATGCGTGTCACAACACTTTGCGTGTACGACATCTGTATCCTTTCTTTGTGTTAATTTTTCATTGATTGCTATCATATTATTTTAAAAGCTATTTGAGGGGCGTGATTTGCGCCTTGTGGTTTATTTGGGAGGAACAGTTTTCTAGGATGCGACATGGACGTCGTCTGCGTAATGCTGACCAGCCAACCATCGACCTCTATGTGCAAAGGTGACTCGGAGTACAGCTGTCGTCGCGGTCCCCGCGGGGCCGGCCTGGGGGTTGCACGGCTGCCGCGCCGAGGTCCGCCAACTCATGCAGACATTCCCTGCTCTCTGAGGCACACCGAGATCTTGCCCCGTGCTTCCAAGAACAATACCAACAAGCAAAGGCGGCGGCGGCAGCAGCAGCAGCAGCAACGGGGCAGACTCATCACGCAGCGCAACCCCTTTCTGTTTGCACGGACCGACGACGTATCTCATCGGGGTCGAAAACTTTGCAGGAGAGCGGCGCAGCAGACGCGAACCCCTCCCCGCCCCTCCCAGCTCCACCCTGCCATGCCCTGCTGCCAGCCTTGGTCAACCCTCGCAGTCAACCTACCGCGAGCAGTTAGTTGTCAGCGCAGCGCGGCATGGGGGGTCTCGTCTGCCACTCCTCTCCTCAAAAGACGCCATCCCCTTGCCGCTGCTGCTGATGCTGCTTGAAGCTGATGCTGCTGATGTACCTCCACGTTGTGGCCCCAATTTTCTCTCTAGCTGATGGCCGAGTGGTGGTGGGTTTGTTGGAGAAAGGGCGAAGAAGAGGGGGGAAGAGGGAGCGGCTTGGGCACGGGCATTGTTCGCTTTCTCCTCCAGCCAGCCTCCACCAGCACCGTTCCACCGGGAAAATTACCCCCCAGCCCCTGCTCCCCAAGGCAACGCTTCAACATTATCGAAAGACAGTACCAATTTCTCGTTCCGTATATATGTAAAGATTTTGGCTGGACGTCTGCTTGCTGCTGTCGCAGCGAAGAAAAAGTTTTGATATTCATAAAACAATTTTGATTTTTAGACAGTCCCCTAAAGACTGTC